CACCCACCCTCAGGGCCTCGCTCCCTCTCCACCACACTTGATCATCATTGCCACAATGAGCCTGTTTCCCTTTCAGGAGAAACTGGAACCAATGGAAAATTTCTAAAGCAACAGCCACAGAGCAGCAGGAATTTGTGCGGTCTGCAGTCTTGCCTGAATTTGCCCCACCATGCCCCTGCTATGCAAAGAGAAAACCTGGAACAGTGCAAGCCCCCAGGCCACTGTGGTGGTCAGGCCCTGGGGGCCAGGCTGGGAAAGAGCTGGCCCTTGCTTTTCTCCGCCAGAGATTTCTATCCACGGCCAGCTTTGCCATCTCTGTGTTTTATTAAGTTAGATGCCATTGCCTGGTGCCTTGGCTCTATAGGCAGCAAGTCATGAGTTACTCGAATGAGGAAGACACTGGGTGCAAAGTCAGAGCCATGGTGTGGGGGTGAGAGCTGTGGAGTGCACACAGGCTGAGCAGCCTCGGGGAGCACAGGCTGAGGGCTGCCATATCTTCAAGAGCAAGAGCAAGATCCTGTCTCTACTAAATAGAAAAACTAGCCAGGTGTGGTAATGGGCACCTGTAGTCCCAGCTACTTGGGAGGCTGAGGCAAGAGGATGGCTTAAGCCCAGGACTTTGAGGTTGCTGTGAGCTGTGACGCCACTGCACTCTAGCCAGTGTAGCAAAGTAAGGCTCTGTCTAAAAAAACCCTCTGGGAATCCATCTTTCCCTATCAGTATTCTATCTTTAAATTAGATTATCAATGAATACTTACTAAGCACCCACTACAATCAGCATAGTTTTTTGTTTTTTGTTTTTTTTTTTGAGACAGAGCCTCAAGCTGTCCCCCTGGGTACAGTGCTATGGCATCACAGTTCACAGCAACCTCCAATTCCTGGGCTCACTGAAGTCTCCTGCCTCAGCCTCCTAAGTAGCTGGGACCACAGGCGCCAGCCACAACGCCTGGCTATTTTTTGGTTGCAGCCGTCATTGTTGTTTGGCGCCCCAGGCTGGATTCGAACCCGCCACCTAAGGTGTATGTGGCTGGCGCCTTAGCCGCTTGAGCCACAGGTGCCGAGCCCAGCATACTGTTCTTAACTGTTAGAAATTATAAAGAAAATAATGGTACCTGGATCTGTAGAAGCTTATTCATTCCCTGAGTTAACAAATATTTATTAAATTCTCATTTTGTACCAGGGACTAACCCAGCACTAGAGAAAGCAATGAACACAGTAGATTAATGCCCTGCCTTCTGGTGCACATAATGTTGAGAAATAGACAGATAATAAACAACTAAGTAAATTAACCAGTGTCAGTTGATAACGAGCTATATAGAAAAAATACAACAGAGAAAGGGAGCATCTGAATGGAGAGTGATACAGAGCGGTTGGCTTGGTGAGGGAAGCGGTCCTTCCTGGGGTGGATACCTGCTGGAGGCAGTCAACCTGCCCCAGAAACACCACGTGGGTGGAGAGGAGGGGGAGCTCCAGGTAACCCTTCAGGCCATGGAGTGGAATGGGAAAAATGAAAGAGACTGTTGGCAGGTGCTCCTGGGCACAGCAGGTGAGTCAAAGAGAGAAACCACACAGTCATTAGCCACAGGCCTTGCCGCCAAGGCCAGCAGTGTAGCTGGTAACCAGGCAGGAAGGGCACATGGAACTGGAGTCCAGCAAATACCAGCCCAGGCACTCTAGGAAGCAAAGTGAAGCTAAGTGCCCCTCTGCATTCCAGCTTCATAAGACTCTTCAAGCCACTGACAACCCTCACCCCATAAGCCTGGGCCACCTTTGGGAAAGATAAGTCACCCAAGAAAACTGAACCCTACCGAGAGGGTCTAAACTCATCCTCTACTCAGGCTAGGTCATTCTTTTTGTCTTACTGAGAGCTCAAGGGAGCATCTCAGATCAACTGCAGATGAAGGAAGTATCTTTTCTCTGCCTAGAGAGAGGAGGGAGAGAAGGAGAGCAAGTGGAAACAGTGAGTACAGAAACTTTCAAGGAGTTCTGCATGAAAACTATCCAGAAGAAAGATACAAATTGATGATGTGGGAGAGAGGTGAGTGGGAAAGCACTACTGCAGTGATGTCCTGGACAGAGTGAACCAAGGGTTTATGGGGCAGGACTGACTACAGCCACTAGGGCCACCCACTCATCGGGGAGAAGAGGTGACCAGTGGCGGGAGGGTGTGACGCCCTCTTCACATGGCTTCTATTTTTCAGAGAAATACCCACTCATCGGGGAGAAGAGGTGACTAGTGGCGGGAGGGTGTGACACCCTCTTCACATGGCTTCTATTTTTCAGACAAATAGAGTGCCAGGTCAGAGTGCCAGCTGAGAGTGAGGAGCCAGAGGAAGTGTTCAGGTTTAAGGAGACTATTCTAGAGGGTGGGACAGTGAACGAGGCAGGGTGGGTAGGTAGGGGAAATGCAGCACCCCATTAAAGGCAGTTTGATGACTCAGCAGTGATTTGGGAGCATCCCAGCATTGCTGGCAGCTGCGCTGTGGTTGAGCAGACACAGCGCAGCAGACACAACACCGTGTGCCAGTGGAGAGAAGAGCCAGGGCACTGGGGTGGGACTGAACCCAGGCAAGGAAAGAATGTGAGGACAGGAGCCAGGCAAGTAAAAGGCAAGAGGAGGGATGCCTGGAGGCTCCAGGGAGGGGGAAGAAAGCCCTGGAGGAGCCTTAGGGAAAGGGAGCTGGAAAGAGAGGGTAAAGGCAGGGGAGAGGGCGAGGGGGAGGTGGGAAGAGGGGGAGGGTGAAGGTGGGGAGAGGGTTAAGGGGGGAGAGGGGGAGGGCAGGAAGAGGGGGAGGGTGAAGGCGGGGTGAGGGTGAAGGTGGAAGAGGGAGAGGGCAGGGTAGGAAGAGGGGGGACTGAAACCCAGATGAGGGTTCCCAGGCCAGGGATGGTGACCAGTCAGGTGTGTCCACGGGAGTGGCTGAGATGGGAGGATGTCCAGGAGAGGGGCAGAAAAAGGAGGTCAACATGTTAAGGTGAAAGAGAAGCAAGCCTAACTCTATTTTGATATAATTCCTTTTCCTGAGAATGAGTGGGAAGGCAAACAGGCCTGATTCCATTCTGTTGTTTTGTTACATTTTATTGCACTAAAGAAACTGGTTCCACCTGCCTCCCCCACGATTGCGTGGTATTTTAAGTGTATTTAGTTAGAACTGTTAGAATTATTAATATTGTGTAAAAAGTCACTACCCTTGGGACAACCCTCTTGATTATGTTAAGGTACTCTTCATGCCATCTGTATATGATATGGAAATGTTAAAAGAGCAAGTCCGACACCACTTTACTGTTTACTCCTTTTCTGTTACATTCCATTGCCTTCCAAACCCTTGTTTGCCCTCCCATTGTATAACTGTGATTACACTCAACTACAGTTGTTAGTGATGTAAATTACTGGCTGCACTTCTGATTATGTCCCTAGTGATTATTGCTTTTCATGATCATGCTATTTACGACCCCCACCTATAAGTCCCCTTGCCTACTTCCTTAGGGCATTGTAGATTGTACTTGCTTTGTTAAAGAAAAATTGCTAATTGCTCTGGGGATGATAGCATTGTGTAAACCAACCGCCCTACCCTTGTGATTTCCCCTAAACTGCTGTTTTTCGGTACTGTAACTATGCTTGCCCCCCCACCCCCCGGAAATTTTGCCTTATAAAAGCCAGAGCCTCTTGGGACACTGAGGCAGCCCCTGCTGGCTCTTCAGTAAAGGACTCCACTTAAATTCGACTTGTCTGGTGATGTGGTCTTTGTGGAACTCCTGGGCATAACAAACACGCCGAGAGGTTGGGGCACCGCAGGACTGAGCGCGGTGCGAGTGTGGTGGGCGCAGTGCCGGAAGCTGGGGGCGCACCGGGAAGGAGCAGCAGGAGAGGGCGGAGTGGGCGGGAAGGCCAGGGACCCCCCATCCCCGCCCCAAGCCTGCACCTGAGAGGGATTGCAGGGTGAGCACAGCCTTAGGGTGCCCAGGTGACAGATGGAGATAGGAGGAGGGAATCCCAGACCAGAGGTTGAGGATTAAGCCCCAACAAGATGGGTGGAGATATGTGGGGGCGTGGCAGAAAGCTGGAGAGTACTCCGGGGGGTCCCGGGGGGGGGCAGAGATGAGGGGGACCGTCCCTGAGGGGTAGAGCGGAAGGCGCGGGGGTGCCTCGAGCCCGCGAGCTCTGGGGTTGGCCGCACAGTACACACCCGGCCCCGTTACGCCCGTTCAGTCTCGGAGACCCGCTGGTTCCGGGGAAAGCGCAGGGCCACACCCATCCTCCCGTCACTGAGACCACAACGAGCTGACTCGGGAGTCGTTTAGACCTTTTCTCCAATTTTCGTTCTTTCTGGTGTTGGCAGGTAGTCTGGATTTTTAAGTTCACGAAACAGTTTGTACATAAGAACATAGCACCTGCGCAGGCGCTCTAGCGCCCACCTAAGTATTTGGTTCCTCGCTAGGAGGAAACACGTTCTGTCCGTAGATTTCAGGGATCCTTGAGATTACGCGGTCAATCGTGTGGTCCAGTCCCATCCGCTACTGGCGAACTGACCGAAGATCAGAAGCGGGCCGGGCGATCAGGGGACAGTGCCGAGTCACACAGCAGCCGACTCGGCGGCAGGGCCAGGACTGGGGCCCTAGGGGCGCCGGGTTCGGGTCTGGACTCCCCCCACCCGGCTATCAGCGTTGCGGCGCCGTCCGGCGGTCACAGTGAGCCCCCTGTGCGCCCGAGCAACGCCAGGGCCCGTGAGGCGCCGGGTCCGACTCAGCCTCGCTGGGGTTTGGAAGTCGCTCCCGGGACTGCCCCGGGCTCCGGAGCTGCTGCGCCGGGCTCTCCAAGGGGTGGAGGACCGAACGCGGGTATCTGGGGGCGGGACGGGGCGGGGCCTGAGCGCAGCCCTCCCGCGAGCATCTCGCCTAGGACCCCGCAGAGCCAGTCGCCGCACCGGGCGCTACAAGGCTCCGCCGGGGGCGAGCGGGGCGGGCGCTGCTCCCGGGGCTTCGGGCTACCCGGGGCGCACATGGGCAGTGTCTGGAACGGCAGCAACAGCCCCGAGGGCGCGCAGGAGCCGCCGTGGGCCGCGCTGCCGCCTTGCGACGAGCGCCGCTGCTCGCCCTTTCCCCTGGGGACGCTGGTGCCAGTGACCGCCGTGTGCCTGGGCCTGTTCGCCGTCGGCGTGAGCGGCAACGCGGTGACCGTGCTGCTGATCGCGCGCTGCCGGGACCTGCGGACCACCACCGACCTGTACTTGGGCAGCATGGCCGTGTCCGACCTGCTCATCCTACTCGGGCTCCCCTTCGACCTGTACCGCCTCTGGCGCTCACGGCCCTGGGTGTTCGGGCCGCTGCTGTGCCGTCTGTCGCTCTACCTGGGCGAGGGCTGCACCTACGCGTCGTTGCTGCACGTGACGGCCCTGAGCGCCGAGCGCTACCTGGCCATCTGCCGCCCGCTCCGGGCCCGTGTCCTCGTCACCCGGCGCCGCGTCCGCGCGCTCATCGCGGCGCTCTGGATCGTGGCGCTGCTCTCCGCCGGGCCCTTCTTCTTCCTCGTGGGCGTCGAGCAGGACCCCGGCGTCTACGCGGCCCCGGATTTCAACGGCACTGAGTGGGTCGCGCCCTCGGCCTCTGCCTGGCCGTCGCCCCTCCGGCCCTCTGGGGCACCACCCCTGTCCCCGCAGTCTGGGCCCGAGGCCGCGGCGCTGTTCAGCCGCGAGTGCCGGCCGAGCCGCGCTCAGCTGGGTGCGCTGCGCGTCATGCTGTGGGTCACCACCGCCTATTTCTTCCTGCCCTTCCTGTGCCTCAGCGTCCTCCACGGGCTCATCGGGCGGGAGCTGTGGAGCAGCCGGGGACCGCTGCGAGGCCCGGCAGTCTCCGGGAGGGACAGGGGCCACAGGCGGACCGTCCGCGTGCTGCGTAAGTGGAACCACGTCCGTTCCAAACACGCCGGTCCGCTGGCATAAACTCTGGGCCCTACACCTGCCCGCCCCGGCCTGGGCTCCGCGTCCAGCTGCGTCCCCTTGTGTTTCCACTCCAGCCTCCACCTACGTATATACAATTTGAAATTTTTCATCAAACTGGCAAAACATAGCCTTCACTGCATTTTCTTAGTTATTGTGTTAAGGCATTCATATTCTACACCTAGTAAATTTCACATGTACCCTTGTAAGATGCACCGTAGGTGTGGTCCCACCAATTACAAAGTTTTGTCTGATTTATTTTGCTGTGACTTCTTACTGCAGGCGGTCCCAGTGGATTCTCTCAGACTCCAAAGAAAACCCTCCTGTTGGGAGTCCTGGGGACCCCAGGGCGCCCCAGAGGGTGGGATTCACGGATTCAGTAAACAGCAATGAGTTTTCAACCCGGCTCAGATCCAAGATGGATCACTGGAGGCTCAGTCCAGCAGCTTGTCCCCGTTAGATGGCGCTCAGTTACCCTTGAGATGAGGGGGTAGATTGTGTTAAGCTACAAGTTTTATTTAATATTAAATTATATCGAAAGCTAAAGTGAATCTTCCTCACACCAGAAAGTAAAAGATTGTGCAGGCCTGTTGTAGAATTCGTTTCAATAGAGAGCAGAGAACTTGCCTTGAATTGGTTTGTGGAAGGGAGCCTGCCAAACTGCTTAAATATTTGAATGTAATATGCAGTTTTAAAGCAAGTAGGGATGTTTATCTGGGGTGCAGACCTGGCTAGGTAAAAGTTTTTTGGTTTTTTTTGTTTGTTTGTTTGTTTTGAGACCGACCCTCAAGCTGTCCCCCTGGGTAGAGTACTGTAGCATCACAACTCACAACAACCTCCAACTCAAGCGAGTCTCCTGCCTCAGCCTCCCAAGTAGCTGGAACCACAGGCGCCCGCCACAACGCCCAGCTATTTTTTGGTTGCAGCCGTCATTGTTGTTTGGCGGGCCCGGCTGGATTCGAACAGCCACCTTAGGTGTATGTGGCTGGCGCCTTAGCCACTTGAGCCACAGGTGCCAAGCCTGTTTGTTTGTTTTTATTAAATCATAACTGTGTACATTAATGCAATCATGGGGTACAACGTGCTGGTTTTATATACAGTTTGAAATTTTTCATCAAACTGGCAAAACACAGCCTTCACCGCATTTTCTTAGCTATTGTGTTAAGACATTCATATTCTACACCTAGTAAATTTCACATGTACCCTTGTAAGATGCACCGTAGGTGTGGTCCCACCAATTACAAAGTTTTGTCTGATTTATTTTGCTGTGACTTCTTACTGCAGGCGGTCCCAGTGGATTCTCCAGGCTTTTGTTAATGTGGTGTCTGTGTCTTGTTTTGCAGTGGTGGTGGTTCTGGCATTTATAGTTTGCTGGTTGCCTTTCCACGTTGGCAGAATTATTTACATAAACACGAAAGATTCCCGGATGATGTACTTCTCGCAGTACTTTAACGTCGTTGCTCTGCAACTGTTCTATCTGAGTGCATCCATCAATCCCATCCTCTACAACCTCATTTCAAAGAAGTACAGAGCAGCGGCCTGGAAACTGCTGCTCTCAAGACAGCCCAGGCTGAGAGGTTTCTGCAGAAGCAGGGACTCTGCGGGGGACACACCTGGCTGCACAGAGACCACCACTGATATAAAGATGACTTTGTAACCAGCACAGCTCAGCCCATCCCCTCCACCACAGCTCTGGGACATTAAGGATAAGGGGTGTATAGAGAAAAACTATTAGAAGGAGGGAACAGATGCTGTTGAGCACGGAAAGACGGGTTTCACTTGTGCAAGTTAGTTAAGAAATTGTTAGCATGATTTTTTTTTTTTTTGGAGACAGAGCCTCAAGCTATCCCCCTGGGTAGAGTGCCATAGCTTCACAGCTCACAGCAACCTCCAACTCCTGGGCTCAAGCGAGTCTCCTGCCTCAGCCTCCCAAGTAGCTGGGACCACAGGCGCCCGCCACAACGCCCGGCCATTTTTTGGTTGCAGCCGTCATTGTTGTTTGGCGGGTCCGGGCTGGGGATTCGAACCGCCACCTTAGGTGTACATGGCTGGCGCCTTAGCCGGTTGAGCTATAGGCGCCGAGCCGATTTTTTTTTTTTTAAAGAGACACTTTGTTGCCCTGGGTAGACTACTATGAAGTCATAGTTCACAGCATCCTCCAGCTCTTGGCCTTAGGCGATTCTCTTGCCTCAGCCTCCCAAGTAGCTGGGACTACAGGCACCCCCCACAATGCCCTGCTATTTTTTTGTTGTTGCAGTTTGGCTGGGGCTGGGTTCGAATCCACCAACCTTGGTGTATGGGGCTGGTGCCCTACTCACTAACCCACAGGCATCGCCCAGCGTGTTTTTTTTTTTTTTTAAACGAAGTAGGAAATGTAACTGTACCACCCTTCCTAGTTTCCCTTTCATGTACCTCCTAAGGGACATTCATTTTAGCATTCTGAGAACCCACTTCACAAATGGTGCTCAAGAAAGGTTGCGGAAGCCCTTTGTTGCCCTACTCTTTGGAAATATAATTGTTCATCTCACAGCTGACAAAGAGAGCTGCTGCCCCAAAACTGTGGTCTTGGGGACCGGGGGGGGGTCCTGGTTTATGTTTTGGATGATATCTGCAGTACACGTAACAGTGCATACACAAGGAACCTGGATAGCTTTGTCTTGCCCCAGCTGGGTGGGACGAGTTTTGTGGTCATCGTCCCTGTTTTACTTGATGGAACTGAGACTTCAATTCCCCCAACAGGAGTTGGTGGGCCTGAATCTGAATCCAGCAACTAGGGTCCTCTCTCCCTCCCACACAGGAGTCAGTGAAGGGTGAAAGAGAACACTGGTCATTCTGAACAACAACTCTGATGCTTTGTTTTGTCTTTTTTTTTTTGAGACAGAACCTCAAGCTGTCACCCTGGGTAGAGTGCTGTGGCATCACAGCTCACAGTAACCTCCAACTCCTGGGCTCAAGCGAGTCTCCTGCCTCCACCTCCCAAGTAGCTGGGACTACAGGCACCCGCCACAACACCCAGGCTATGATTGCAGCCATCATTGTTGTTTGATGGGCCAGGTCTGGATTCAAACTCACCACCTTAGGTGTACGTGGCTGGCGCCTTAGCCACTTGAGCCACAGGCGCTGAGCCCACTGTGACTTGTAAGGTCACAGTGAGAGGTGTGGAAGGTAGAGTCAACTTGGGACAGTTAGGCCGGTCTCAGTGAGTTTCTAAATTACTTCGTAACACAGACCACTATGGTCTCTTTGGAATAATTAAAACTACAAGTGACAAACATACACAGCAAGAGTCTGCTCAGCATGCTGACAAAATGCTCTTGCTTTTTTGTTTTATTAGCTAAATCCCTTGCTAATTCCCAGCCCCAACCTCCACTGTGGAAGAGAGAAGTCTCTCGCCTGCCTTTTCTCCCAGTTAGTGAAAGAAGTAGACCACAGTTATTTGGGGAAGCAGTCCCTAAACTGTGTCCTACATATTTTGAGGGATTATTTGAAAAAATGCTTCTGTGGTCAAATAGGACAGGAAAAACACCCATCGCGTGACCCCTGCCCTGGCCGCCAAGTCACAACGCAGCAGGAAGTTGTCCATTCACCAAATGTTTCCTTATTTTCTCAGAGAGCCAACTCCCCATCCTTCCCCAAGAATGCTTATTAAAACCTCATAGAGTGAGGAACACTTTGGGGACCCTGACGTAGGGATTTGACAGTGGAACTGTCAGCCTATGCCTCTGCTTCGTGACACAAAGTGTCGCTGCTGCCACAGCCTTTCTGTTGACAGGACTCCCTCTCTGCAGCGGGCAGAGTGGCCCACTCTGCAGGGAGAGCATAATAAAGCACTGAGAAGTGTGTGGTAGTTTAGAGATGGAAGCAAAGATCCCTCCTTTGAGGTTTTTTCTTAAGATTCTAGAAAATAAGGATTTACATTGCACCCCCTCTCCCCCCAGGATCTCTGATTGAGGACTTCCTAGAGTACAGTGTGTAATAAAATTTGTTGAAGTCTGATTATATAACCTGTTCTTAGGTGTTTATGTATATACTTAGGCAATTTTTTTTTAGACTTTATTTTCGCTTTTTGCAAAAGGGGTTGAATGAAGTAAAACTTATGGCTTGGTGCCCTTATCTCAGTGGTTAGGGCACTGGCCACATACACCGAGGCTGGTGGGTTTGAACCAGGCCAGGCCTGCCAAACAACAGTGACAACTGCAACAAAAAAGGAGCCGCAGCCTTGTGGTGGGCGCCTGTAGTCCCAGGTACTTGGGAGGCTGAGGCAAGAGAATGGCTTAAGCTCAAGAGTTTGAGGGTGCTGTGAGCTGTGACACCACAGCACTCTACTGAAGGCAACATAGTGAGACTGTCTCTAAATAAATAAAGCTATGTTAAATGACTAATTCACAATGGAGGTCTTATTCTGAAAAAAATGTAATTCTCTGTGACAATTGAGACCATAAAAAATAATGAAGTAATATTTAAATGTATGTAAACCAACTAGCACTATTCCTGACACGTGATAGATTGAATAAATAGTACTTCAGTGTGTATGGAGGATGCCACACACTTAGAAAACTAAGTTTACTACAGTATAATGGAATATTTAATTATGTAACTTTTGCAATGTGTGTATAACATAAAATACAATGATGTCCTTAGTCTACTGTCCCTCCTGTGGTGAGCCTCAGTATAGGCAGCTAGCTTTGTCCTCAGTTCATTAGCTATTACTTGTTAAGTCTTTTTGGTTTTGTTTCCAAACACATGAAACAAAAGTACTGAACTTTTATTTTCAAAAAGTCTTACAACTCATAAGAGGGACATTCACATCATTACTTAGCTTTCCAAGCGAGATCATCAACATTTCACCCCCAGAATATGCACCTTTCACTGACAGTCTTAAACTATTTTGTGTATATATAATAATAAGCCCACCATATGATTCTGAAGTTCTCCTCCTGTGTGCACTTTTAAAAACTGGATTTTTTTGGCTAGTTCAAGCATCTGCTTTCTTAAATAAAGAAGAAAATGAGGCTTGGCGCCTGTGGCTCAAGCGGCTAAGGCGCCAGCCGCATACACCTAAGGTGGCGGGTTCGAATCCCCAGCCCAGGCCCGCCAAACAACAATGATGGCTGCAACCAAAAAATGGCCAGGCGCTGTGGCGGGCACCTGTAGTCCCAGCTACTTGGGAGGCTGAGGCAGGAGACTCGCTTGAGCCCAGGAGTTGGAGGTTGTTATGAGCGTGATGCCACGGCACTCTACCTAGGGGGATAGCTTGAGGCTCTGTCTCAAAAAAAAAAAAAGAAGAAGAAGAAAATGAATTTTATAAGTATATTTGTGAGTAGCAATTCCTAAGTTAATTATTTTAAATGTTCATGTACTAATTTACATGTACAGCCTTGATTGCAAAATGTATCTGTAACATGATGAGGAAAAACTATCACATTTGAACATATCACATGTTTAAGTTGTTGGGCTACATATAGAAATGAATAGAACCAGGGCCCTTAACCTCAAGATCCTGTCACGTGTTAGGGCAAGAAAAATGTCTTAGAAAGTCAGGGTTTGCCATGAGCATGTTGCATTAGGAACAAATGAGGAAATTGCTCTTTATTCCAACAGTCACTGCAATTGCCTTTAGGATCCAACAATGTAATGTCTGCCCTTTTTTCACAGCAGTAAAGAAAGGAGTAACAACTGGAAGAACCCGGCCTTCCTCAGTGGACAGGTGGGCGTGATGCTTTTGGAATTTAAGCAGAGCTCTTGCTTTCATTTTATAAACAAGGGTGAAGAATGACCCAAGTGAGGGATGGAATGGCCGTAGAGCTGGCCAGGCATTTGTTCTCTGCAGTACATTAGTGGTTTCTATTTCAGGAGTTTCATCTGTTGCTCTTAAAAATGTCCTGTATTAACAAGAGCCTTGGGGGGGGGGGGACAAACACAGCAGCAAACTTCTGACATCTTGTGAGCCAGCAGCATATGATATCACAATCACAAATGAAGGGATGGAAAAAGTACAATGTTTGGTTTGAAGAAGCCATGAATTTGGACAATAAACAAAATATTCAAATGAAACTTTCTGGAGTTCTGCAGGGTTTACCAAGAGAATCTAGACTCTCAGCTAGCCTTTGGTGTTATTATAAACACTTGATGTTCCAACGGTGGAAGACACCATCATCACTGAGAGAGATATTCTCAAGTCAGGGCCTTGGAGCTCCTAGGTTCAGACATAGGACATCTCCAGTTCTACATATGAGAGTAACACCATGCTGCCATGCGGAGTGACTCACCGGGGCAGACGCTCTCTGTACAGCCCTCTGTGGAGCTTCATTGTTGGAGGCTCAAGTAGAAACAGAGAGAAAGGTAAAGAGCTTCTGTTCACTACGTGTGATGCTCTCTATCTGCCTAATATTTCTCTTTTTCCTGACGCACATGTACTGCTTCAGGTCCTGTGGATTTTTCCCAGGATGAGGACTGAGAGTAAACGTGGATGGAACCAAGAACACAAAACATGCCCAACAAACACTGATCAGAGGTCAATTAGGTGGTTTTGTTAATGTAACTCTGAATACAAACCATGATCTGCAGTTAATGACAGACAGGTATAGCAAACTACATAGAGATGAGCCAGACCTTCCCAAAGGAACTCAGAAATCATTGACAACATCTGAGGCAATG